CCGTATTGTGGATGAAGGTGTGACAGTGCCGCCACGTAGCAGCGTGACAGTTTCTGTGAAAAGCGACGTTTTTCGTGAATATGCCGGACTAGCTGATGGAAATATCGAACTGCTGCTCACAAAGGGGATACGCGTGGCGAGAGGTCTAGTGAACCTGCGGAACGGATATACTGATGTGCTATTGACTAACTTTACCAACGAGGTACAGCATGTGGCGAAGGGAGCAGCCATAGCATCACTTCATGACTACGTACAAGTTTCAGATGTTTGCACCATAGAAAAAGTACCTACAACGCCCTCAACAGTGGACAGTGTCCTCGAGAAAATAGATATTGACCGAGAGCTTTCTTCTCTGCAGAAAGACCAGATTGTGGAGTTGATCAAGGAATTCGCAGAGTGTTTTTCCTTTTCTTCGAAAGTCGGACGTACGCCTGTAGCAAAGCACCGCATTGTGATCGAAGGGCATGTTAGACCAGTATGTCAGCATCCATACCGAGTAGCTCCAAAAGAAAGGGAGGCGATAAAGAAGCAAGTACAGGAGATGCTCGACGACGATGTCATACAGCCCTCCAAAAGCCCATGGGCATCGCCGGTAGTACTGGTGAAGAAGAAGGACAACACCATGCGGTTCTGTGTTGATTACAGAAAACTCAACCTCGTCACGAAGCAAGACGTGTACCCACTCCCACGAGTCGACGATACGTTGGATAAACTGCGCAATGCTCACTTTTTTTCATTGTTGGATCTAAAGAGCGGGTACTGGCAAATAGAAGTCGACGAACGAGATCGGGAAAAGACGGCATTTGTGACACCCGACAGACTCTACGAGTTCAAAGTACTCCCATTTGGTTTGTGTTCTGCTCCCGCTACCTTCCAGAGGATGATGGACACTGTGCTCTCCAGCCTCATATGGCAGTCATGTCTTGTCTATCTGGATGACGTAGTAATTTTTTCCACTACGTTCGAGCAGCACGTACAGAGTTTGAGAACAGTACTGGACGCTATTCGTATGGCTGCACTTACGATCAAACCCGAAAAGTGCCACTTTGGGTTCCGGGAGCTTCGATTCCTCGGGCACATTGTCACTTCTCACGGTGTCCGCCCAGATCCGGATAAGATCACTGCGGATGAAAATTTCCCAAGGCCAAGAGACAAGAAAGCTATGCGACGTTTTCTGGGGCTTTGTGCCTACTATAGGCGCTTTGTTGAAAATTTCTCCAAGATTGCGGAACCACTGACACGGCTTACGAAGGAAGGTGTGCCATTCATCTGGCACCAAGAGCAAGAAGACGCCTTCTCTGAGTTACGACGGCGTTTGCAGTCACCTCCCATACTTGCTCATTTGACGAAGATGCCAAAACAGACATTCATACGGACGCCAGCAACGTTGGCCTCGGTGCTATTCTTGTTCAATGGCAGAACGGGGAAGAAAAAGTTATTGCTTATGCAAGCCGCACTCTGTCGAAAGCTGAGTATAATTATTCAGCTACGGAAAAGGAATGTCTCGCAGTTATATGGGCCATCAGTAAGTTCCGTCCATATTTATACGGTAGACCATTCCGAGCCATCAGTGACCATCATTCATTGTGCTGGCTTGCGAACCTCAAGGATCCTTCCGGAAGACTTGCTAGATGGAGCCTGCGTCTACAAGAATATGACATCACCGTAGTCTACAAGCCTGGCCACAAGCACAATGACGCGGATTGCTTGTCACGAGCACCAATCCAGAACTCGTCTCCTGAGCATGAACAAGACTCCGCATTTCTTGGAGCTGTGAATGTGTCGGAGATGGCTCATGATCAACGAATGGACCCAGAATTACTTGTGCTCATTCAATACTTAGAGGGGCAGCAAGTCGAAATACCGCGAGTTTTCGTCCGTGGACTACGTTCCTACGTCCTCCGCAACAACGTTCTCTACAAGAGAAACTTTCAACACACCGGTGAAACGTTCCTACTGCTGATACCATCATCACTGCGAGCGGAAATTTTAGAAGCGCGTCATGATGACCCATCGGCAGGTCACTTGGGCATTAGTAGGACTTTGGCAAGAATCCGCCGGAGATATTACTGGCCAAAATTGATGGATTCAGTACAGCATTACGTAAGATCATGTCGAGAATGCCAAAGACGCAAAGTACCACCCCTAAAACCAGCAGGTCTTTTGAAACCGATAGAGCCACCGAAAGTCCCGTTTGAGCAGGTCGGTATGAATTTGCTAGGACCATTTCCTATGTCATCGTTTGGGAAGCGCTGGATAGTTGTAGCAACCGACTGCATGACCCGGTATGCCGAGACGTCATCTCTCACAAAAGGAACGGCAAATGAGGTGGCTCAGTTTTTTGTGACCCAGATAGTGCTGCGACATGGCGCACCTAAAGTTCTTATAACTGACAAAGGAACTGCGTTCACTGCCAGGCTAGTACAGTCTGTCATGAAACTAACGCACACCGACCACAAAATATAACGCACGCCGACCACAGAAGAACTACCGCATACCATCCGCAAACTAACGGGTAAACTGAAAGACAGAACAGGATGCTTGCTGACATGATCGCGATGTATGTGGACGTCGAGCATCGGACTTGGGACACCATATTACCGTATGCTACATTTGCATACAATACCGCAGTACAAGAGACAACCCACTTCACACCATTTCAACTTGTTTATGGTCGGACAGTAATAACGACATTAGACGCGATGCTGCCTGTCAACAGCACGAATGAAGAGGACCCTGACATAAGCGAATATGTAGAAAGGGCAGAAGAGGCGCGACAACTAGCACGGAACCATATCATTCAACAGCAGAACGTCGACGCGCACCGTTACAATCTAAGACGAAGGGACGTTCAGTACTCCCCTGGAGACCAAGTGTGGGTCTGGACGCCTGTACGTGCACGTGGCCTATCAGAAAAGCTTATGCGGCGCTATTTTGGCCCTTACAGGGTTCTTTGTCAGCTAGGCCCATTAAACTACGAAGTGATCCCTGAAGGTCAAGTATGCACAACACGACGCAGGAATCTCCCGGAAGTTGTACATGTAGTACGTATGAAACCGTACTACGACAGGAACTGAACAAGTGAGCTGACTCACGTCGTCTAACACAAGGACAAGTCCTATTGTTTAGAAACTGTCAGCCGGCTCTACGCATCGGGGCGATGCGTGCTAGGAGGGGGACTAATGCCACAGCTCGACCATCGCAGAAGACGCGTACCACAATTTGCGTTCGTAAAAGCCGTCAAGCAAGTAGCAAGAAAGCCGCGCCATGGAGCGCCGTCCTGCACGCGCCACGATGCTACGCCATGGGACTGGCACGAGACTCGAGGGGCAGAAGGAGAGACCGACGAAGTTGGAGTCAGCGAGCACAGGCATTTTTTTTGGCTGACCATTTTTAGCTTTGAGTTTACGGGCACAAGTTCGCCCTAAATAAAGAGTTTATATAGCACCAGGTGCTATATTTATTCGTAACAATATATTCCTAGCCTGAGATTTGGCTCTGTTTATGCCAAAAGTAAGCATCGATGACTTAAGGATAGAGATATTCAATTACAAGTTAATTAGAACGAGTTACTATAGCACACACATATTCAACAATTATCCCATTATTCTTGTTACAATAGAATACTGAGAGCCATGAAATAATGTTGTAGTGATTTGACACATTTACAGCCAGTTCCTCATAGGTTGCATCAGAAAGGGTTAACTAAAGGTAATAAAACATGGTACATATCAATGCTGATATTCTTCTTTTCTCTTTAAATATTTTTTGAAGTTTTATCCTTTCTTGTTTTACTGTACAACTATGAAATGTAAGTGGTTTAACAAAAACACTGTAGTATGAGAACATTTTTCTCTGAATGTTTTTCAGGTTTTTTTTTTAGTCACTCTGATTGATGTCATGAACCGCAAAAATGTTGCATTATTTTGGACGTAAACAAGTTCTAACATAACGTAGCAAATTGGGCTAGTTGGAACATACTTTCCACTACAGTTATAGTGGCATGTGTAACGCGACACATGTGACCAAGTCAGCCTTGCGGCCACACCATTAGTTATGGGCTGAAAAATCAGGTTCAATTTATTTAGAGTAATTATACGCAATGGAATCACAAAAAGTAACTCCACAACAACACATATGCAGCTAGTTTGCATTGTTTTCAGAAATTTCAAGTTTCAGAAATCGCAAAATTGGTGGAAAAGCACTTTTTACCACCAAAAGGTATATTTTGTTCTGGTGAAGAAGTCTTTTTTCCCCCAAAACAAAGTTCGGAACCATTGTTCTAGTGCCAATGCTTAGGTCCACAGTAAATTTCATCAAAACTGGGAATGGTTATCAGGACCTTATGTTAGATGTTATCTGGACACACCCTTAACTGGCTGCAATACAAAAAAACATAAGCTTTGCCCATAGCAATCACTGTCTCACCTGAGGGTATTCAGGTTTGTCCCAGCCAATTACATGCACATACTTCCACAACTTTACATAAAGCATTTCTTGGGTGTTCACGGTACTTGCTTTTATCACACAGATGTACTTTTGCGTTAATGATTCTAGGTAAAGAGAACTTGAACATCCTGGAAAATTTCATCGGAGATCCTTCCATGTGTAATGAGCTAAATGTAGTAGTACTTTATATCCCCGTAGTAGTACTTGAGTATCCATGTTGCACAGAGAACAGGAACCTGCTGGCAGGGGTTCTGTCAGTGAAACTTTCTCTCACACAGTAATTAACTAGTTGTCTTTACTTGTTTCAAAGTACCTCTGTATTTTTCTGTATTTATACTTCCTAATTCATAAACAGCTCATTCATTGATTTTCCGCAGTCAACATTTACCAAAAAAGATAGATCATGTTTTTCTTATATTTATTGCTATAAAATTTGGTACAAATGGCTAGAAAAAACAGACAATCACAAACCTGTGATTTTATAAAAGTTTGAGTCGCCATTTAAATATAATAAACATTTCAGGCCCATATGACAATATTAACAACTTTACCAAGGCTAATAATCCTTGCTAAAAAGTCTCATTAAAGCTCCTCCCTCCACTGTGGCTCTTCTTGCAAAGTCAACTGGGTTATTGGAATTTTTCCTTCAAAGACAAGTTGGTCTTCTACAGAGAGACACTCTCCTGCAAAAAAAAAAAAATCATTTTTGTTTGACAAAGCATTCAATAAATCTTTTCTTCAAAGCAGCTATTACAAACAATGAGCCCCAATAATTAGGATTACAATATTAGTGCAAATAATTTAACCTATACCAATCTCTATGCAGCACACTTCAGCAATGAACCACAATCAACATGTGTGAAGGAGGTTCAGTACGACATTTCCTGAACATCTGCACTGTTTTTAGTAAATGTTAAGACAGTTAAGTATGATTCAATATCACAGGGACGTATCATGTCAGCTTACAGATTGATGCAAATTAATTTAGCAGAAAAAAAACAAATTGAAATATTACAGTGAAACTAAAACTGGCCATACAAGTTTACCAAAGTGGCATCTAAAGTTACCACACTAGTCTAATACACTTTACACATTGCTTAAAACACGTAGTCAAATGAAGAGCTTGGCAAGGTCGTAGCAGCTGAAATGGTAGCTCGAATTCAAACACAACAAAAGAACTTAAACACAGAGATGCTACTTCTTACATATGCGAATACAATAATGCTGACTTCACAAGATGGCTTCATACAACCATTATTAGTGTCATATAACAGATATCTTGTGAAGAACAATTCATATTCGAGTATTCCTGGCTTGAATACTAATTTATTTGCCTTATACGTCATAGACCCAGTAAATTATGAAACTTCATAAAAGCAACAAAGTAAATGGAAGTCAGCAAAACATTGTGAAACATCGAACAAAAAAACAAAAAGAGTAACACAAATACTGGCTGAGACTGACACATAACAAGTTTAAATGTCCAAAAATTTTATCCAAGCATGAATAAACAAAATTGTAGGCACCCAGGACACATGAGCACATATAAGGGCTTTACGCTTTCAAAAGCGATTCCAGTTCAAGATCATGCATGCACAAGCCCCCAAAACTCTTGTTTCTATGCGTATGTGGCACCATGCTCGTCTCTTATTAAGGAAATGTATAATGGAATTCGATAGCTCATAAAACTACAAATGTATTTATCATTCACTGACCCTACTTCGGAATGTTTGCAACAATGTATTATTTTTTTTGTTAATATTTTTCTTTGCTTTTTCAGATATACTAGTTTCAATGGGTGGATAATAAAAAACTAAACTCTCATAAAGGATTGCATGTGGGCTAAGCAAACCATTTGCGCCTACTCCTAGTTCAACACATTATGCCACCATACAGGCACTGCTTCTAGTGCCGTCCCTAAGCAGCTGCAGTCTTTTTGTTTTGCAAATGACTGCATATCATCTTGAAGGGCTGTGCAGCTGAGCTGAATAACCCATGAAAATGTTCTAGACAATTAGGAAAGGCCCAATCGATCATTCCTTGATTCAAGTGACATGCACCTCCGGACGCATGCATGTTTTACTGGGTAGAATTTTTCGCATTGATTTCATGCTTTGTGGAAAAATCGCTGCCGGTGGCGTACCGACTGCTTCGCGAGTGGGGGGGGGGGGGCTAGGTTTTCCCACTCCATCAGGCTGTGTGTATGTGTGTCAATATATATATATATGTATATATCCGTAGGGAAGAAGACGCACATACGAAATGATTTTATTGACGTTTAGACCGCGGGTCTGGCCTTCATCAGAGTGAAGGCCGACACCCGCGGCCGAAACGTCAATAAAATCACTTCGTACGTGCGTCTTCTTCCCTACAGATATTCTTACCCGAACCCAGCATCACTTTTGTTATTGGTATATATATATATATATATATATATATATATTATTGCGATAGCAATTATGTCGACGTCGGTGTCGATGTGGGCTTCTCCGTCACTCACCGTATATGTATATGTGTCTATATATGAAAACACAAGAAAGAGAAAAAATCCTGAAAAGACTCTGGCGCGTGGAATCGAACGTGGAACCTCCGAGTCGTGAATGCGAGGTGTTAACCTCTGAGCCATCGAGGAGCACATGCTTCAATGCTCAAACGGCAAGCTATTTATATCTACCACTTATTGCAGGTGATGGGAATCTCGGGGGAGAACTATCGCATTTTCAGCATTACCAGCAAGATGGTGCTATGGGCGCGCGGCGGGGTTCGTTCTGATCTCCCACGCATACTTTGCCCCTCAGAGTGGAAAAGGTGGAAGCACGCTCGCATGCCCTTATCTCGCAGTGGGGGGGATGATCGTATGTCTTGGCTGGCATTAGGTTATCACTAAAACGAAGCTTCTGTTGTAGTTACCGGACGCACAATGGTCACTGCAATCGTTGCACAGTCTCCATTTGCGTAAAAAGTGTGCTTTTCAGACACAGCGAACTAACAACTGAGACGCTTATTTGCATTCATCTGTACCTGTGTGTACGTTTGAAGCATAATTTGTGCATGAGAAACGCGGGGCACGTTTCAATCTGCTTTTCCTTCGGCGCGTTGACCTTCCAATTTGTTGCTATCACGTTCATTGCTTTGCCTTTGCGGCAAAGCTGTGACTTTGTTTCTTTAATGTTAATATTGCATCCCGCTGTTGCTCATGCTGATTTATGTGCCCCGTTGATGAATGTGCAATATTAGATACTAAATAGATACATGTTTGGGGGCCTGCAATGCACATAAACAGTACATTTCACGCTTGAAATGTATTCCCTAGGCCAGATCCCGACCGCAACGTAAGAAATAAGAAATGTTTTCATACATTCATTCCCTCAAGCCAATTTTTATTTATCACTAGATCCACAGATCCAAGACACTTGCATATATATAGACACAGCTAGGGAACCTTGCCCTCACTTCGTCGTATAAGCAGAGTAATATTTGTAGTTCACAAGAAGTTGTTTTCTCGATGTCACTTGAACGACTTGAGAAATGAGGTTTTATAACTGCGTAACCAGAAAAATTATGAAACAGTAGCTTGTATTGATGCCTTGTGCAGTGGGCTGCCAGGTTTGTTAATTGGTCATCACGTTCCTATTTTCTGTGATGCTTTTGTGATGTCACATTGGCACACGTTCCAGTTCTTCTGATATAAACATCGCCACATACCAGAAAGATATCGTAGACCACATATTTGCGAACACGTATGCGACCATGTTATTATTGTGTTCTATAGTTGCAAGTTTCTGCACTGCGTGTGTTTCGTTGCTGTCTGAGTAGTACTTTGCACTATACGAGTCAATTTAACACGAAACAGTACCACCCAAGTTTTGGCATGGTATTTTAGGTGGTTTGGATTTATACAAATTATACCAATTTGGTTCGCATTAGCTCTTGTTGTCAAGTTTGTATTTAATTTCTGCACAAAGATGGTATAATCTACATGAATGGTAAATTTAGTGGTGTTATCAATGCTCCGATCCCACCAATGCAAATTATAAAAAGAAAAGTTCTAAAAATGTTTCTTCAAGACCTGCCAAATTTAAGCTTTTTCTGGACAGAATATTTCATGTGCAAACTGGACTTTGATTTCAGCAGTATAAATAGAATTGTAAATAGAATGAGTACGAAGATCGTCTTACTTCTCCATTTCCTTATATTTGCACTTTCTGAACGAATCATGTAGTTGACAAAGCTAGGTATTTGGAATAACCCTTAAGAATAAGCTGTGTGCTAAATGATAACTGTTAAGAGTTCACTAATACAATAAAGCTTTGTTAATTACACACATTAATTTGGATAACTGGATCATTCAGGCGTGTTTTGGCCAGCGTAAATAATTGCACCAAAACTCTAGTTGACTTGGTGAAATTTGGCCACAACCGGGTGAATGAATTCCTCGGACAACGCAGAGCATGAAACACCGCAAATGTACGATGCAAAGGCAGGAAAACGACATTTGCGGACAGCCCGAAATCCATGTAGACTTTCAGAAAGCCGTGGCCACCACTCAAAATCGCGTTGTCGGTACGTAACAAGGTATTGGACCAGAGTACACTTCGAATCAGCACACAGGGGTCTCGATCATTGTTCAAACTGTGAACAAAGTGGCAAATGATGAAAATTGTGGCTAATGCAGTGTTCTTATAAAAAAAAAGGCTGGTTTGCTCTAATGGCGCCCAGAAAGTGCGGATCTGGCAAGGTTCTCTTTAGTCCACTTTTTTCCTTTCTCTCTATCACGCTTGCTTCCTTTTCTTCTCTTTTGTAATACTTAATTTTGCTATATATATATATATATATATATATATATATATATATATACATATATTCGAAGGAAATGAGTGAGGCAAGGCAAGCAAGAGAAGCAAAAAGTAGAACTCTGAGAGCTTTGCGAATTAGAGAAATCGTAGAAGCCATGCGGCAGTGCTGCATATAAGCTCAATGTCAAATTTATTAAAATTTATTTGAAATTTCAGATAAGTTTTTGTAGCAACACGCACCAACTGAAGGTAGCTTTAAGAAACAAAAAGAAGGAATACAGCTTACGAAGTTGCACTACAATATTAAAAGTCAATATTTACCGTTACGATTTGGACTCTGGCCTTAGTAGGCATCCTACCTCTACCAGTGGCGGATCCAGAGGGTGGGTAGTAGGAGCGATCGCCCCCCCCCCTCCCCCGCCCCCAAAGCCTGTGTAGCAACCCCTCCTCTTTTCAGTGTCCTCGTCGATCTCCTTCTCAGGTTGCCTCGGCGTTGGCTTCGGCTACCACTGGCCAAACCGAATTTCGCCAAACAACCGCCTGTTTTTGTTAGGTGCAAAAGTTGTCCCGGCCTAGCAGTCAGTGTTCTGGCTAGTAGCGTTTGTAAAAAGGTGCATTTTTTGTCTCCCAACTGAAGACACGGCTCAGCGCTAAGTTCTGGGTACTGCATTCCCGAGATGGTGCTAACTTCTTTCGCCCCCTTTTGCCATTTTTCTACGACGCTGGACCTCTGCTCTGTTACTTTCACCCCCCCCCCCCCCCCTTCTCCCCCAGACATGAGGGTTCAGATGTCTTTCTTGACTAGAAGCAGCTTTTCTCTTCTCTACGAAAAATTTCATCTCCTCTGTGGCAGCTGTGAGCATTGACCATGGGCGCCGGCAGGTGGG